AGTGAATTTCTACCTCCATGCAAAAAAAAAAAAAAAAAAAAAAGAGGAGAAAACAAAAAGAAAATAAGACACTCAGGACCAGGGAGCACATTTCTAAATTGGAAGATACCTGGGCATGTGTCTAGGTTGAGGGGAAGGATCCAGGGCAGCCAGAGGGGTTCACTTATCCCAAAAGCGAGGAAGGTTCCTGTGAAAAAGTCTTCCCAACTACAAGCATTCTGACCACTCACATTTTCAGCATTAAGAGAGAAATTATTGTCAACAGAAAAATCATGTAATCCCCAATATGTATATCACAATACCTTGAAACTTTGCCATGTCACTTGAGTCCCTTGTGGGCTCTGAGGGAGCAGCTCTGAGACGGTGAGACTGATGCAACAAGGTTGGGTGGTGATGGAAGGGATGGACTGGCTTGAGAGCCTGGCAGGGAGAAGATCAGAGGTGTAGGAGGAGGTGTCTCTTGTCATGGAGGCAGCAGGAATTTAAGGATAGTGGTGACAGTTAGGGTGGAAGAGGGTGATGTCCAGGTAACAGGTGAGGACATCTCTTGAAGAAACTATGAATATGTCACAGTGTGGGCCAAGGCTTTGCACTCAGAGTTGGAGAAGGCTTCAAGAAGAACTAGGACAAGGGATTGGGAAAACTGGCTTTTGAAAAGTGAAGTGGCCCTGGAGCAGGCCATAGCCTTCTTGTGGCTCATTTTCCTTATGTCTAAAATGAGGCAAATGGTCTTTTAGAGGCTGGATGTGGTGGCTCACTTTGGGAGGCCAGGACTTTCGGAGGCCGAGGAGGGAAGATCACTTGAGCCCCGGAGTTTGAGGCCAGCCTGGGCAACATAGTGAGACCCTGCGTCTACAAAGAAGAGGTGGTACTAGACTGCAGTCCCAGCAGCTAGGAAGGCTGAGCTGGAAGGATGGCTTGAGCTGGGGAAGTGGGGCTGCAGTGAGCCCCGATATCTCTACTGCCTCCAGCCTGGTTTGCAGAGTGAGACTCTGCAAAAAAAAAATAAAAAATAGACCAGCACAGTGGCTCATGCCTGTAATTCTGGCACTTTAGGAAGCTGAGGCGGTGGATCACCTAAGGTGGGGACTTCAAGACCAGCCTGGCTAACATGGTGAAACCCTGTCTCTACTAAAAATACAATAAATTAGCCAGGCATGGTAGCATGTGCCTGTAATCCCAGTTACTCTGGAGGCTGAAGCAGGAAAATTGCTTCAACCCAGGAGGCAGAGGTTGTGGTGAGACAAGATCGCACCACTGCACTCCAGCCTGAGTGACAGAGGGAGACTCCATCTCAAAATAAATATAAAGTAAAATAAAAATAAATCCCTCAAACAACAATAACAAAAACACGTAAATGGTCTCTTAAATTCCCTGGAAGTTGTAAGGACAGTAAGTACATGCCAGTACCTCCCTCGGTCGCTTGAGCTGTTCTCCGCCTGGAACTCACAGCCCTTCAGAACGCCAGCTGCGGCGGTCAGCACAGCACTTGGCACACTATATTTTCCATACCAATAAGCATCTATCATTTGGAGGGAGAGGCTTGTCTTCCAGTCTTTGTACCCTATAGGGCCCAGTGCAGGCTGGCTGGTGGCAACCTGGCCTCCAGGAATACTTCCTGGAATAGCAATGAATGGCGCTCTAGTCTCTTAGAAAGTCTTGGCATTCATGTCCATTTCAATTAAAAAAAAAAAAAATTGCAGGAGATGGTCTAGTGAGCAGTGCAGCATAACGCGGTTCCTAGGTATGAACTCAGTTAACCCCACAGTCACATTATGAAGTGGGTTATCCCCATTTCCCAGATAAGGGAAAAGACAGAGAGATTAAGTAACTTGACCAAGGTCAACAGCTGGTGAGTGGGGAGCCCGGGTTTAGAAACCGGATTCCGGCTCTGTGCCTGTGCTGTGCCTGCTGCCCGCGGATGGCTGCTGGGGCGGAGAGGTTCGGAGGTTTCAGGGGCATTTTGTCCTTTCCCACCTCTGGGGCGTGGGCTCCCCATGGACGATCCCGCGGGTCCTTTCTGCTCTGACACCCCCGGGTCTGGCTCCACTTCCCCCAGCCCGCAGCTCAGCCGCGCGCCTCTCCAGCTCGCCGATGACCGGCTCCCGGCCGTGACCCCGGCCCTCCCTCGGAGCGCGCGCCGCCAGGGGCATCTGTCCCTTCGCGGGGGTGTCGCCGCCCCTCGGCGCCGCCAAGCGCTGGCCACTGAGCCCTGGCGCCCCTGGCAGGAGCACGGCGAGGACGCCTCCCCGGACTGCACCGCCGCCCTGCGCACCCGGGGCGGCGCTGCGGGGCGCGGGGGTCGGCTGCTGGCCGGGCGGGCGCGCCGAGCAGACACAGCTGAGGGGACGCCGCTGAGGGCGCGGCGCGGGGTGCGCGGCCCGGGCGCCTCGAAGGGCCAGTGGCGAGGGGGCGCGGGCGCCGCCGGAAGCTGGGGCGGGGCGCCCGGCGGGATGCGGTGAAGGGCGAGCGGCGAGGCAGCGGCGATGAGCGCCTCTGCGGCCACCGGGGTCTTCGTGCTGTCCCTCTCGGCCATTCCGGTCACCTATGTCTTCAACCACCTGGCGGCCCAGCATGAGTGAGTGAGCGGGCGCGGCGGGGGTCGCGCCGAGGGGCGGCGGGAGTTGGCTCCGCGCGGCGGGAGCCTAGCAACTTTTCCGAGGGGGCTGGGGCCGTCCGCCGCCGGGCAGAGGTTGGCGGCTGCAGGGGCTCCCCGCGCCCGGCCAGACGAGGGGGCGCCCCAGGGGTCACACGAGCCGGGTCCTGGAGCCGGGCCCTGACGTGCCCAGGCTGGCACAGTTCGGGATGTGGTGCCAGCACCGCGCCAGGTGCCCGGGGTCACAGGGGTCAATACAGCCATGCCCCTGCCCTGGAGGGGCACAGGAGCCGGTGGGGAGCGGAACGCACACGGACACTACGAGCCTGGCCGCGTCAGCTAGTGTGTGCTTTGTTCTTTTTGCATCTCACGGGAACGTTTCCATGTATGGACTCTCGCATACTTATCATTTCTTATTAATTTTAGAAACTGTTGTGAATGACTAGCAGAAATAGTCCGGAACCAACAGGCAGAGACGTGGGTTCCAGGCCTGGCTTTGGCACTGACTGTGTGGTCTGGCCTCAGTTTTCCGGTCTGTCAAGTGGACTTTGTGTGCGTCCTATTGTAAGGCTCCACGGAGACCTGCTTGTGAAGGGGCCTTGTGAATGAAGAAATGCTTCCCAGTGCCTGCGCTGGGGTAGGATGGGGACAGGCAGCAGAGGGAGAGCACTTCAATGCAAAGGAAATGGGTGGGGCTGACGGAGGGGGACAGGGCTTGGGTTCTAAGCCCTGCCTCCCCCTCCTCTGCAGGGATCACTAACCAACCTTCAGCAGCAGGCAGCTGAAGGCCTGAGGGTCGGGGGTCGTTGGGACAGGCGCCAGCCTCTGTGCCTGCTGGCTGGTGTCTGGAGGGAGGAGGAAGTAACCTGCTATGTTTCTCAGCCGTTGGTGCTAAGGAAATTGCATCAGTCTGCAGGCTGCAAACCCCCTGTGGCTGGTCAGGCCACAGAGTGTCTGTATGTAGGGTGGTAACTTCCTCCTCTCTAGCTGCCAGGCCACCTGATCCAGGCAGCACCCACTGAGTGCTCACCAGGCACTGGCAGTGTCTGCCCTTGGTCGGACCCAGCCTCTGGAGGCATCTCCTGGAGGCAGCCGCTCTGGGCCACCGAGTATTACATGCCTATCAATATAGTGCATGGGGACCCTGTGCTCCTAAAAATAGCATTATGGACAGATCAGTGAATATATATTGAGTGCCTACTGTGTGCCTGGTACTGTTCCAAGTGTTGGTGACATAGCTATGAACAAGCCAGAAGAGGTTGTGGAGATAGGTATTGAGACAGACATCAACAAATATATCAACATAGATAGTGACATGCTATGAATAACATAGGGTGACTGGGGACGCAGCTGGTGGCCAGGAAAGGCTTCTAGGAGGAGGTGACACTTGGGCTTTGGGAAGACTGGGAATGGAGCCTGTCAGGCAGGGAAACAGAGCGGTGCAGGGGAAGGAAGTGGATGGGTGTAGTAGGTATTTTGGAGGGTGAACAGATGGGGCTTACTAAAGGGGGTTGCATGGCAGCAAAGAGAGGATTTGAGGATGAGCCCTAGGTTTTGGCCTCAGCCACTGGGAAGATGGTGATGACATTTACTGAATGCAGACCGAATTATGTATTGCTGTGCACGATGGAGCGCATTGCCAAGCACTACAGCGTTTTGAATAATTAGCGTCAGCCATTCTTCCTGTCCTGCAGGTTAAAACCCCAGTGACCTTTGATTCCTCTCTCTTCTTTCTCCACTCCCTCCTGCTATCCCCTTCCCCACAAGTCCTGGGGCTCTAGTTTCTGTTCCCCACTTTCTGTTCTCCCTGGCATTGGCCCTGTCTGACCTGGACTGTGGTAAAGGCTCCCGTGCGAGTCCCCTCCCCAAGTCCCCTGCGTGTTCCTCGGCTCGGCCCAGCCCCAGCCCACACACTAGTGCTCCCGCTACACCAGCCTGCCTTTGCTCCGTGAAGACTCCTCCTCCTCTCCGGCCTCTAGCCCGGACTCCTGCTGCTCCCTGACTGGGATGCTGCCTTCCTCCTACTGCAGACTGCTGAAGCCACACCTGGACTTTATGGCTCACTTGTACCTTTTGCAAATCCTCCCTGTTTCTCCTTTGAGCTCCCTCAGTGCCTTGTTTGCACCTTTCTCCCGAGAGCTACTTCCCTGTGGTCAGAACTTACCTGCCCTGGCTGTAACTTACCTCTGTACTATCCTGCCCAGGCCCGCGCCGTGTACATCATAGGTACTCAGGTATGCTTGACTTTGTTGAGTTTCCTTCCCACCAAACCTTTTATGCCACTCTGAAAACCAGAAAAAGCAAATTAGATTGAGAGGTAAGGAAAGGATTGAGTGTGTTCTGTCTCCCTGTTTCACTGAGAGACACACATTGCTCACACTAATCCATGCAGGTCCCCTCTCAGTAGGTGTCCGTTCACAGAAGGGTATCAGCATTCTCTCCCACCCAAGGCTAGCAACTGTCTCATCCTGGGGTTAGTGGCAGCCCGTACCTGTCCCCGAGTCCCCACAGGACCTCTTTCTCCCTGTGGTGAGCAGGTCCTGCACTTGGCTGTTGTAGGAGGGTCTCTGGGGACAGTGCTAAGAGTCAGAGATGATCTGCTGCCCCACTTTCCTTTCATTCTTCCCCCCTCCCCTGGAGCTGAGAGCATGAGAGGATGCTGTGAACCAGTTTACACTACTCTCTCCTGCTCCAGAAGAGCACCAGCCACGCCATCCTGCTGGCAGTGAGTGAGTGCAGGAGTGAGGACAGGAGTTGTCACCTGACCACCACCTGCCTCAGGCTGTTCACCATTAAAATGTCTGTCAGCTGACCCAGCATAATCACCTCACGGGATTCTTCAGCCCAGCATCACACTCTTGACTCACATCGGCTTCCTCCTTCTTCAGCTCATCCCCAAAGGAGGAGCCTGGAGCATCCGCTGATGTACAATCACCAGAAACCTCTTATTTTTCAGTTTCTCACCTGACGACGAAACAGCCACCCTCATTCGTTTTTTTTAAATTAAATTAATTTTTTTTTTTTTTTTTTTGAGAAAGTCTTGCTCTGTCGACCAGGCTGGAAGTGGTGTGATCTCGGGTCACTGCAACCATTGATCCCTGGGTTCAAGCGATTCTTCTGCCTCAGCCTCCTGAGTAGCTGGGATTACAGGCATCTGCCACCTCACCCAACTTATATTTTTAGTAGAAATGGAGTTTTGCCATGTTGGCCAGGCTGGTCTTGAACTCCTGACCTCAGGTGATCCACCCGCCTCGACTTCTCAAAAGTGTTGGGATTACAGGTGTGATCCACTATGCCTGGCCTTCTCATTCTTATCATAGAATGAATCCATCTATCATTTATCCATCCATTCACCCCTTATCCATCCATCCATTCATCTATCTTCCTCCATCATCCATCAGTTCATCTATCATCTATCCATCTATTCACCCATCATCCACCCATTCACTCACCATCCATCCATCCACCATTTATCCCTTCATCTGTCCATCATCTATCCATTCATCGTTCCATCATCCATCCATCCATTCATCCATCATAATCCATCCATCTGTCCATCTATCCATCCATTCATCATCTATTTGTTCCCCCATTCCTTCCCTCCTTCTATTCTTCTCTTTCTCTCTCCCAGGGGATGGTGATAGTTATCCAAAGGTCTCAGTGTTAGGCTGTGGTGGTGTTGAGGGGTCTCAGCTGAGGAGTGGTGCTTGTAGCTGCTCCAAGCTGAAGAGGTCCTGGTGTAGCGGGCCTTCTGAGTGGGCCAGGCAGTATTTCTTCTAGAATTGGAAGCCCTGTCAGTCCTGGAGGGGTGACAGGGAGAATATCTCTGCTGGACTGCAGGAGAACTCCTAGGTGGTAGAGCTGAGTCTGTTGAGATGGGTTCCTCCATGGAGGCAGGGACTTCTCTTGTTTCTCCAGTTTCCTAGGGCCTGAAACAGTGGCTGCCACATAGGGGTGCACAATACATTTTTTTCCTTGATATGTTTTTTTTTTT